TGAAAGCCATTCCGGGAAAGACCAGCCCATGAAATGCATTTCCAGGAAAGACAGTTCCATGAAAGGCATCCTTGGCAATGACAGCTTCGGGAAAGGCAGTCTCATGAAAGGCAGTCCTGGGCGAAGAGTGTTCTACCTCCTGCAGAGGCGGGCCCGTCCTTCACACACGAAGAGACGTGGGCCCAAACAACACATTTAGTACAGAGGATTTGAGAGGTGCATCTGAGGAGCATGAAAAAGGAAAGGAAGTGCCCTTGAAAAAAGAGGCAAGGCGTTTACACGGATGTTATTATGGGTTGGAGAATTCGGGTGCATTGTTTGAAACCGGTCCCCCCCCCCCATCCAACAAACCCCTCCCACAGGTTGCGCGCTCGGCAAATCCGGGCCTACAAGACTTTGGCGCCCATTAATAGCCACGGAGAAAACAAACGGTCTCGGAGGTTGACTGCTGCGGCGGACAGGAAGGGAGTTGGGGCGGGCGACTATGATATCTCTTGAGGGATGGCGGTTTTTATACCTGGGCAATTTTTGGGACATGGGAGTTTGACACGATATCGGAGGTACGGGCGCGTTGGCGGGTTGGTCTCTGGGGTTTTGATCTGTTTGTCGAAAGAAGCCTTGAACCTGAGGCCCGCGAGGAGTAGGCTATAATACCACAGCGAGAGTCATTTGACATGTTTTTTTCGTGTTTGGGCAGGCTTTGGCTTGGGTCATAGATGCATTTGGGGTGAGTGACACACTGGTGAGGTTGGCTAAGAGAAGCCTGGCCGTACCGGAGTGGGAAGTTGCCGCTTGTCCTTGTATGAAGTTTGGTGCTCCTTGGACTGGGGATCGTGTAGTTTGGCTCGCTTCCTTGAACCTGATCCCGACTCTTGTGTAATAGCCAGTGCTCGTTAATTTGCTCAACTGCGGCACGAACATGGTGTGGTAGCTCGAGATGAGAAGATCCACAAGCGAACCTCGTCACGAAATTAAAGGCTATTGTACGCCAACAGTATTGTGTGCTACAAGAGTAAATAATTTACTGATCTGGTCTATCCTTGCCCGGAGTTAAACTCGGCTACATGATATGATGGACGTTCAAACACATCGATGAATTATCAGATACTTCTTTCTCACGCGCCTTTGTTGATACACACTGGCGACGCTTACATGAAAAGGACAATAATTGGTTCCCCGCCAAGTTTGCTCATATGCCCAGGTTATATACATGAAAACAATTCTGCGTGGTATGGTTCAGCTGATCTTCGGATAGAGGCCCATGATGCTAGCTGGAAGACCTAGGAAGATGCCATGATATGTCTCCACACGCATCACAGCCTCACCACAAGGTATACGGATATCCTCAGACTTCTCGACTGCCTGCTCTGCGACCAATGCAGGCGGACCGACATGTTGCTGTTTTCGTTTCCATCCTTGTAAACGAAGGGCTGTACCTCAGAGCCTGAAGATTCATTCACCTCTAACCGAGTGCCGTGATGCTCTGCCTTGAGCAAATCGTCAATCTCTTTAGAGTCCTCTAAGCTGCAGAGTCTTTTTGCGACGGCTCCGGTCAGAATCAAACATGAGACCGTCGAATCGTCCAGCAAGAATGCGGGACGGATGCGGCATAACACCCAGAGAGGCCCCCACACTTTGTCGGTTGCTGCGTCTCTCAACATGAGGGAGCAGCCAGTCCAACCGAGCACGTTCGGCGTACTGGAACAATTCACTGTGTGAAATGCGCGCTCGGGATACTTGTTTGTGACGCGTCCTTCTGCGTTCAGAAAGTCTTCGCCGCGCGTCTCAAGCGACCTTTGCGACTTGATGGTCTCAACTGAACCGAACGGGAAGAATTCGAGTCTTCTGATGCAGCTGTGTGCGTCCCGTCAGATGCACTGGGACAAGTTTCGATTGGTGTTTATGACAGGTAGAACTGCTTCATTTCGA